GGCAGCCAGGAAGAGGCCGAGGAGGTCCTGTTCCCCAGGTAGGAGCAGCCAGCAAAGGAATGGCGGGTTCAGAAAGGGAGGAGGGGACGTGCCTGGCTGCCCAAGAGCCTGTGGAAGGTCTGGGGCAGGGCGGGGAGCCGCCAGGTGCTGGGAGCAGGAGCTGGCTGTGTGAGCAGAGTGGGTGGTGGAGGAAGAGAGCTGTTGAGCAGCCAGAGCAGTCTTCGGCTGGCAGAGACCTGGTCTGAAGTCACAGTCTAGGAAGTGTGGGTGGGCACCGCCTGGTTAAGAAGATGGGAGGGAACTCCAGGCTCTCCCTGGAGGAGACGGGAGGGGTCCGTTTGGCTGTGCAGGGCTTGGGCCCTTGACGATTGTGGTGCAAAGCAAAGAAACCCTTCCTGGGTTGTGAGCAGAAAATGCTCCCCCTCAACCTGTGGAGGTTAAGGGACACATCCGAGGTCACCCAGCTGGGGAGCAGCCAGGTGAAGAGAAACACTGAAACCGTGCCTGTGTTCTGTGTGCTCAGCTAGGCTGGCCATCCCTTGGACTTTATTCGTAACGGCTACTACTAGAGGAGGTGTGTTATGGGAGCATCCAGTCACCTAGCAGCCCAGGCCCTCTGTGAGTCTTGATTGAAGCGTCTCTGTGCCACCCCACGGTGAAGTGTTTCTGTGCTTATTTCTCCACGTGGTTAACATCTGCTGGGCACCAGCTCTGTGCAGGGCCCGGTACTGGCAATCAGGGGGACCAAGCCAAAAGATGGAAGACCCTGGGGGCTGGGCCAAGCAGGAGGCACAATGACAACTCATTCACGTCCAGCAGGGAGCCCAGCCGCCCACAGGGCCTGGGTGGGGGTGGGGGTGGGAGGAAGAGGGCACGGTGTGTATCTACCTGGTGTCACACAGGACTCTCAAATGCGAGCACGGCCACAGGAACTCATCATCCCTGCCCCCGTCACCCCACTCACCAACACTTCCTCTCACAGAAGGTGAGAGGAAAGGCAACTGCCGGCGTGATCCCCATGCCAGAGAAGGACCCTCCCGTCCTCTGGGCCCACGCACAGGTGAGGAATCTGGGACCCTGCCTTCTCCCTCCCCGGAGCCTGTATCCTCCTCTTTCTCTTAAACGCTCTGCCCTAGGAGGCCCAGGCCGTCACCATCTGGTCTGGCCTCCCGGCCCTACTGCAGAGGGCACCCTCTGCTCCGGGATTACCTCCCTGCTGCCCAGCTCACCACACCGCGGGTCTGATCATTGTCATCCCCTCACTTCAAACCCATCGGGGCTCTCCACAGCCCTTGGGGTAAAGGCCCCAGGCCCCCGGCAGATGGGAGCAGGCTGACAGATTCGGGTGCTTGCTTGGAAGAAGGTACTGAGAGCCTCCTGTGGGTCAGACTCTGTTCTAGGCGCTGGGGACCCTGGGGTGAGAAACATGGACCAGGCCATCTGGGGAAGGAGGCCCTCATGCCCCAGGGCAGAGACCAAAATCTCTGCTATCTATCTGTCACAGGGATGTCACACAAATCAATGCTGCTAATGTGAATATGGATGGGGAGTATTCCAGGATCCACTTCTTGATGTGGGTGGCCGGGCAGAGGAGGCCTCTGGGAGGAGAGGACATTTCTGCCAAGATCTGAGTGAGGAAGAGGAGGAGGAGGGGGGCCACCACCACGGGAAGTTCTTGGGGTGGGTTGTCCCCACATGGAGGAGGAAGGAAGGCAAAGGCCACAGGTGAGAAAGAGCTGGGTGTGGGGCTCTGGGGCCAGCTGAGAAGGCCAACGAAGCAAGAGTCTGGTGAGAGGGGCTGGGGCGGGTGGTACGGAAAGAAGGGGCCAGCTCCTTGGGGGGCGGGGGGTGGGGAGGCACCAAGGGTCCTGGGGCCGAGGCTGGGAGCCTGCCACCAGGGAGGAGAAGGAGGAGGGAGTTCCAAGAACGGGCAGGCAGAGAGGGAGGAGACTAGCCCAAAGGTGGGGGCTCACAGAAGCCAAGAAAGGAAAAGGTTTTGAGAAGGAAGGAGGGTCAACTGTGCTGAGAAGTGGAGCAAAATGAGGGCTGAGAGGTGACAAAGGAAAGGTGGTTGAGGCGTCACAGCCCAGCCCTGGCAGAGGGGGGAATGGGTACCCCAAGGTAGAGCCAGAGAGCCCTGGGCTTGGAGTCAGCAGGTATGGAAGGAGGGGGAGTAGCAAGAGGCGAGGCTGAAAACAGGGGGAACGAATTGACAGTCGGCCCACAGGCCAGCTGGCCCGTTGGTGACATGGGACCCACATATGTTCCCACGGGAGCACCCTCTCTGAGGAAGGATCCCAGATAAATCATGGCGGAAACCAAGAAAGAGGACAACGTGGGGTGCACGCCATGGGAGGGCTAACGCCAAGGTTCAGTGGACAGAAATTCTCGCGGTGGGTGTTAAGAGCAGCAGTTCACCTGTATTAGGAGAGGCGGTCTTGGCCCTCAGCGGGGAGAAGGGGAGGGAGTCCACACACGAGGCCGACTGGGAAAGCTGGTTTGTGACAGAACACCTGTGTTTCTTCATGGGAATGTGTAGAAAAAATGAGAGTGCCTTCAGCCTTGATGCTAGGAACTCTCTCCTAGAAACAGGCCAATGAGTCTTCTCAGCAGTGGGGAGGAAATGAGCAAAGGAGATTCACAGACGAGGAACTGGGAATGGCTGACACACCTGTGCAAGGATGCCCAACCTCACTGCCGACCAGGGAAACACAAAGGCACACAATAATGAGGTAGCACTTCTCCCCATGGGGGTGGGCAAGTGGTCAAGGCTGGACAAAACCAAAGGCTGCTCAGGCTGTGGGGCACACGGGACCAACACCTAGGCTGCTGGTGGGAGTGAACACAGGTTCAGCCACTCGTGGGAGATAACAGAATAGCAACACCTGGCCATGGCGGCAATGGGCACCCAAGTGCCCAAGTCCCAGCAAAGCCACTTCTTGGTGTACGTGCCAACGGCGGCTCAGACAGGCACGCGCAGGGTGCTGGCGGCAGCGGCGTCTGTGGTAGCCGAAGACTGGGAACAGTGTGTGTGCCCATCCACAGGATCGTAGACAAATAAACCAGGGCTCTGATTCAACAAGGAGCATGAGTGAGCTGGATGCTCGGAGGAAACCTTGACCAGTATAGCCTGAGTGTGCAAAGCAAGTCACAGAAGAGGATGTCTGGCCAGACGCCAGGCAAGGAAAGAGAAGGGGGGGGGGGCGGACAGGCAACAACACCGGAGGGTGTGACCCTGAGGGAACCTGTCTGCCCTCTGACCAGCAGAGAGGCTGTGCACATGGCCCCAGACTCCCATGACAGGACAGGTGCAGGGTGCCGAGACCCAGCGGGACCGGAGCTCCATTTTGAGTGGTGGCAGCACTGCCCTGGTACAGTGACCAGCGCCTAGGTAGCAAAGGAAAGGGGAAGGATCTGTGGAAGAAGGCTGACTCGGGGCCAGACAGACGGAGTTCTCTGGGGAGGCATGACACCCATGCGGCCCTCAGGGGCCAAGAGAGCAAATGTCTCAGAGCCCATTAGGCTGGCGAGGGCACAGGGGGCAGGGGACACATCCAGTGCTCCACTCCCAGCCCACCGGCTCTCCTGTACACACACACCCTCAGGTAGAGACCCCAATTCTGTCGTTCCACTGAGGCCCAGAGAAGGGGCAAGGAATTGCCCAAGGACACATGGCAAGATACAGGCCCAAGGGGTTGACTTCTAAGTACTTGAAGTGAGCCAAACAGGACAGAGTCCGTGGCACGCTCCTTGGGGCTGGCCACTGGCACTGGGGTAGCGACGCGCCTTGGCCGGTCGTGCACCCACAGTGGCCGCGGCCCCGCAGCGAGAGCGTGGGGACTGCCGGCCCTGCGTTGGGGTGGAGTGTGTGAGTGCTCGTGTTGCGCATGTGGCGTCTATTCCACGTAATCGCACCTGGACGAGGTTCTTCTCGCTGAGCGGGGACAGGACCAGTTCTGGGTGGGGTGGGGGGGGGAAGCAGGCGAAGAAGTCCCCAGAACGTCCCCCCACCCCACCCCCCGCCCCGGTCCCGTTCCCCACCCATGCCAGAGCGCAGCGCTGGGGGGCGCATCTCAGGCCTGTCCAGCCACTCTCCGGTGGGCACCCGGGGATGTGGAACCCTCGCCACGCTGACGCCCTGAGGGCACGTTCCGGGAGCGGCGGGCGGTGGACAGCGATGGGTCGAGGATGGGGGCACCGACTCGTGGATCCCCAGGGTGCCCACCTGTGCCAGCACCCCCTCGGGGGCGGGGGAAGGAGCAGGTGACGTCACGCGCGGCCCCGGGGTGCCCGCGGCGGTGGCCGCAGCCCGGCCGCGTGACCCGCGCGCGCCAATGGCCCGGCGATCTCCGGGGCGACGCGGAGGGTCCGCGCTCCGCCGCCACTGCGCCCCCGCCCCGAGTCCGCACTGCAGAGAGTGGAGGCGAGCAGGCGCCGGCGCGCTGGCCCACGTGCCGCGCGGAGAGAGGGACCGGGAGAGGAAGAAGGAGAGCGAGTGCGAGAGAGCCGGGGAAGAAGGGGCGCACGACCCGGCCGCTGCTCCGCGCAGCCCCTGCGTGCCTCCTGCTGGGACCTCCACCAGGAAGGACCCCGACCCAGAGGAAGGTACCAGGTGCGGGGAGGTCTGCTCTCGGCCCCCGGGAGGCCCCGCCGCCCGCCCCAGTAGGACTGCGGCAGCCCGCGTGCGCGGGGGGACGGGGTGCGGAGGGCGCTGTGGCCCCTGCGGGCCGGTGGAAGGCGGGGCAGGGGTCGAGCCTGGGCTGCCGAGGCGCCGCCCCGGGGGAGTAGGGTCACCTGGGGGTGGGAGGGGGGCGTCGGCATTAACCTCGCTCTCGCCCCGTTCGTATTCACAGGCTGTGGAGACCTGGGCCGTTCTCTCCGAGTCCTAGCCCCACCCCACCCCCCCAATTCTTTTCCCCCGGCCCAGTACCACCCTGGTCTGCGTCGGAATCCGTTTCCTGCCCCTAGTATTAGCCCCGCGCCAGCGGAAATTGCGCGCGATGGCGGTGACGATGCTGCAGGACTGGTGCAGGTGGATGGGCGTCAGCGCTCGAAGGGGTCTGCTCATTCTGGGCATCCCGGAGGACTGTGATGAAGCCGAACTCCAAGAGTCCCTGGAGGCCGCCCTGTGGCCCGTGGGCCACTTTACCGTGCTGGGCAAAGTGTTTCGAGAGGAGGATGATGCCACTGCGGCCCTGGTCGAGCTTGACCGGGAAGTCAACTATGCTTTGGTCCCCAGGGAAATCCCGGGCACCGGGGGTCCCTGGAACGTGGTCTTTGTGCCTCGTTCCTCAGGCGAGGAGTTTCTCAGTCGCGTGTTCCACTTCCTGGAGCAACAGGGGCAGACGGTGGAGAGTGTGGCTGGGGCCCTGGGGCTGCGACTGCACAGGGTGAGCTGGCTCCGACTGGTCAGTGAGGCAGTCCAGCCCTGGGTGGAGACCATGCGGTATCAGCGCCTGGGCGTGTTTTCCGGGAGGGATCAGCCCGCCCCGGGGGAGGAGTCCTTTGAGGCCTGGCTCGACCACAGCGCCGGTATGCTGCACGTGTGGCGGGGGGTCTCGGAAAGGGAGAAGAGGAGGCGGCTGATGGAAGGCCTTCGAGGGACGGCCCTGCAGCTCGTGCATGGGCTCCTGGCGGAGAACCCTGCCAGGACGGCGCAGGACTGCCTGGCGGCCCTGATCCAGGTGTTTGGAGACAACGAGTCCCAGGCGACCATCCGGGTGAAGTGTTTGACCGCTCAGCAGCAGTCAGGCGAGCGGCTTTCTGCTTTCGTGTTGCGGCTGGAAGTCCTGCTGCAGAAAGCCATTGAGAAGGGGGCCCTGGCCAGAGCCTCAGCGGACCACGTGCGCCTGAGGCAGGTGCTCACCAGGGCCAACCTTACCGAGCCTCTGGATGAAGCGCTGAGGAAGCTGAGAACGGTTGGGAGGTCTCCAAGTTTCCTAGAGATGCTGGGGCTTGTTCGGGAGTCTGAGGCATGGGAGGCCAGTCTAGCCAGGAGCGAGAGAGCCCAGGCAGAGGAAGGGGCTGGTGCCCGGGCCAATGCCCAGGCTGATGCCAGAGCCAATGCTAAGGCAGAGGATGATAAGGTGGAGGAGCAGGAGCGGGAGGAGGAGGACAGTGACGACCGTGACACTGTCCCTGCGGGCCTAGGTCAGGCCAGACCCTCCGAGGCCCCTGGGGGCCCCACTCCTGCCCAGATGGGCAGTGCTTCCAGGGCGGGCCCAGGAGGTCCTGGCTGTGAGCCAGAGGGTCTCGCCCAGGCAGGAGACCAGGAGGCTGGGGAGCCCCCCGAGGAGGGGCTCAAGCCCATCCCAGAAGAGTCGGAAAACAAGGATGGCGCTGGGGAGACGAGCCCCCCCAAGTCCTCCTCAGGCAAATAGGCTCAGAGGGCCCAGGGGCCCCCTCTCCTCTCAGGCAGCAGAGTTCTGGAGGCAGAGGGAGGCCATGCCAGGGCAGCAGCCTCGCCCCACATTGAGAGTAGGGCCGAGGGAACAGCCCACTCACCCAAACAAATTCCCAGGACCCCACCTCCCCAAGGCACCCTAGCCAGCACCACTAGCCCTTCCAAATGACCAAGATGACCATGCCTGACACCAAATGGGGCAGGAAGAGCTGCCTCCCCACCAGGGCAGCTCCACACCCAGCCCCAGCCCCAGCCCCAGCCCCAGCCCCAATCCACATGGGGCAGGGAAAGGTGCCTCCACCCACCCAGGGCAGCTCCACACCCAGCCCCAGCCCCAATCCCTGCCAACTCAGGCAGCCAGTCTGGGAAACGTCCCTGAGTGGCTGGCCCTAGCCTAGGGGACGGGCACCGGAAGCCATCTGCCACCCACACTGTACTGGGAGATGTCAGGGGCCATTTCAAAGGTGCCAGCCTCTTGGGTCTCCCGAGAGGGAGACACTCATTTACTTCCCCTGGGGCACGTTGCTCCATGTTCTGGGAAGCCCGCTTGTGTCTCTGTAGGGCCCTTAGTGACCCACGTCTCAAGTGACTCCCCCACCCCACTAGTGACCATTCTTGTGCAGAGCCTTGAGGTGTGCAGGAACCCGCCGTGGGTGTCCTGGTCTACCGGGGCAGCCACCTCTCGGCCCGCGTGCGTGCCATGAGCTTCAGCGGGAACCAAGGCTCTGCTCGCTCTCTTCCAGTGTTGTGAGCTCAACCTCTGCTTTCTCGTGTACATTTAGGCCAACCGCTGCTTGTTTTTGTGGAGATGTGTGTGTTTTCTTGTCTGAGCAGCTGCCCCCCCCCCCAGAAATCCCGAGCCCAGTTCCAGGACACGGCGGGAAGGATGCCCGAGGGCACGGCTGGTGTTCACCCCGTGACCTCAGGAAGGAAGAACCGGACCAGGGATGGAGGGGGCCAGCGGGAGTCTCCACGGGAACCGTGCTCTGATGTGCCACCCTGTTGTTCCTTGCGACTCCGCTTCCTTGGCTCGGCCGAGGGTCCCATGCTGCGTTGTCCAGCGTCCTGGGACTGTCCCGTGCAGGCCATAGGGCAGGACCAGGCCCCGGCATGTCAGCCCGAGGGGAGGGTGCCCCGGAGTGAGGGGACATGACCAGCGTCCAGCGTCCTGGCCAGAGGTTGATCGTGGGGCCCTCAGGAAGGGAGGCTGAGGCAGGAGGGCCGCCGTGTTGGGGGAAGCAGAGGCACCTCGTTTGGGACCCCAAGAGGAGGGGGGCCGTGACCTATGGGCTCTCGTGGCCATTAGGCGTTCCTGTCTCTGTTGTCATTCCCTCCGTTCGATGGTTTCAGTGTGTGTTTCTCTTCAATAAATGTCATTGCATGTTTCAGCTGAGTCTCGCCTCTGCTGTGGGCAATCGTCGGGAGGGTCTGCTGGGGCTGGAGGAGGGAGCCAGAGAAAAGATTTTTGGCCAGTACCCACGGGAGACTTCTCCAGTGAGAGGTTACGTGAGGCACTTTGACCGGAAGACTAGGATCAGGTGTGTGATACATGGGGGCTACTACCTAAGTAGTTTGTCCCCTCCCTCAGAGGGGAGGTGGGCGGGGGGTGTGATGGCCAAGGGTTGGACATTCTTTCAAAGGCTGAATAATATTCTTGTGTGTGTGTGTGTGTGTGTGTGTGTGTGTGTGTGTGTGTGTATCATATCTTCTTAGACTGATATGGTTTTAAAACAAAAAGCCTAAATGTGTTTTAATTTCAGGTAACCTAACTGTGACAATCTCATTATGGAACAATATTGACAAAACATACTGAGCAACTGAAAAACTCTACACTCTTACAGGGTTTGGGGGAGGTTGGGCACAGACATTTCCATATCAGCTTCTGTAAACTACTTAGGTATTTGGGTTTGATGCATGCCTCATGGTCTAGAAGTGTGTGGCATCTCATGTAGGGCAGGAATGTCTCAAACATGGAACGACTGGGTTAGACTCCCAATAATTTCCTCCCACTACACAGGGCATGAGGTCTGTGGAACCCAGCCTGCCCTACCTTCCAACCCTCCTCTATCATAAGCTTATTTGAAATGGTTCGGAACAGTATCTGGACATAGTTCCTCTATAAGTCTTTGCTATTAGTAACATCATGTAAATGTTTCAGTTATCGGGCTGACAAAATCTAAGGTATGACCCTGAAAGTGAGCGGCTAAGTAGGGATAGAGCAAGATCACTGGTGGAGGAATAGGAAGATCATGGAAGGATTATTGGAAGGATCATGTGTGTGGATTTTGAAATCAACAAGAATAAGATATATGTTCTGAATATCATTAAGAAAGGAAATTTCCTACTTAGTGACCAGCAGATAAGACTATTGTGGTGTTTTTGTATGTTACTGGTAAACGCAAATGATGTAAACTAGGTCATGATATTTGATAAAAGAGAAGATACTAAAAAATATATTTATTTAAAAACGATTCAAGTTTGGGCGCCTGGGTGGCTCAGTTGGTTAAGCGACTGCCTTCGGCTCAGGTCATGATCCTGGAGTCGCAGGATCGAGTCCCGCATCGGGCTCCCTGCTCAGCGGGGAGTCTGCTTCTCCCTCTGACCCTCTTCCCTCTCGTGCTCTCTATCTCTCATTCTCTCTCGCTCAAATAAATAAATACAATCTTTAAAAAAATAAAAAAATAAAAACGATTCAAGTTCAATCTAGATTTTTTTGTTGTTGTGAAATTTTAAATTTTACCCAAATGGTCATCACAGCTTTTTTTTCTTTTATATTTGTAGAATATATTTTGACAGCAACAAAAGCTTTTGCAACACTCTAGAACGGTTCAGAGCCAGAGAATGCAAGCAATTCAACAGTTGTATGAGCAATTCTTGAAGGTCCGTTGAATTTGGTAACACAATATATTCTCATAAAATGTAATACGTATATGGAAGTAGAAAATAATTGTGTTTTTCCTTCTTAATACATGTTGAAAACATTTTGGTTATGCCTCTAAAATCAATTAAAATTAATTAGGCATTTTCCATTTTGAATTCATTGTTCTGATTTAACATAAATGCTAAATGTACTTTTACTTTTCAGATTCATTCATGGTTTTGTGGGTGTCACTCAAAACAGGGAATGGTAGATTGGGAATTTTACCAAGAAATATGCATATCGTGCATGAAACTGATCCTTTATTAACAATTTAATCATGGTTCTTTGTTCCAGAGTCAGTCTTTCTTAGGAGAGTGGTGATGAATATATAGTTTGAAAGTAGGAAGTCTTTAAATCATTTCTCGATGTCATTTACTTTTCTTTGTGCTGCCAATGTTTCTTAAACAGCAAGTAGCCAATTTTATTTTCAATTGCATTTTATAAGTATTTCATGGCATATTTGCTTTCAGAATGATTAAAGTGACTAAAAATGGCTTTATATGCCAACTAATAATTGCAAGAGACAGCACAGATATATAGGAGAATGAAAAAAGCCAGAGTAAGACTATAAGCTTGTGAATTGAGATTACCTTCAGTTGTATTTCCACATTAGCGAATCATCCTCAGTGACACGGACCTCTTCTTCACACAGCTATATACTCGTGTGGGAGTGGATGGAATCCTGTACATTCCCCTTCTGTTTTTGGTCAGAGTGCTGTTGTCGTTGTTGTTTTGAATGTCCTAAGAACACTTAACATGAGACCTACCTACCCTCCTCTGTTCTTTTGCATGGGGATATAAAGTTTTCCCAGCTTCATTCGTTGAAGACACTATCTTTTCCCCATTTTGTATCCTTGGCCCCCTCATCAAAAATCAGTTGACTGGGGGCGCCTGGGTGGCTCAGCTGTTAAGGGTCTGCCTTCAGCTCACGTCATGATCCCAGGGTCCTGGGATCGAGCCCCGCATCAGGCTCCCTGCTTGGCGGGAAGCCCGCTTCTCCCTCTCCCACTCCCCCCTGCTTGTGTTCCTGTTCTCGCTATCGCTAACTCTCTCTGTCAAACAAATAAATAAAATCTTTAAAAAAAAGATCAGTCGACTGTACATGTGGAAGTTTATTTCCAGGCTCACTGTTCTGTTCCATTGGTCTATACATCTGTCTTTATGCTAGAACCATACTGTTTTTATTACTGTAGCTTTGTAATATATTTTTCAAATCAGGAAGTGTGATGGCTCCAGCTTGTTGTTGTTGTTCTTTCTTGGAATCGCTTTGGCTATTCGCAGTCTTTTGTGGATCCACATGAATTGTAGGATTGCTTTGTAGAAGCATTTCTGTAGAAAAAAATAACATTGGGGTTTTGATGGGGATAACATTGAATCTGTAGATCGCTTTGTGTGGTATGGGCCTTTTAGCAATATTAAGTCTTCCAGCCCATGAGCATGGGATAATTTTTCCATTTCTGTATGTCGTCTTTAATTTCCTCAGTGCTTTGTAGTTTTCAGCATACAAGTCTTTCACCTCCTTGGTTAACTTTTTTCCCTAAGTATTTTACTCTTGTTGACGCTATTGTAAATGGGATTGTTTTCTTAATTTCACTTTTGGGTGACTCACTGTTAGTGTGTAGAAATACAACTGACACTTGCATGTTGATTTTATAACTTGCAACTTGGCTGAATTCATTTATTAGTTTGAACAGGGATTTTTGCGTGTGTGGAGTCTTTGGGGTTTTCTACATATAAGATCACACTATCTGCAAACAGAGACAATTTTGCTTCTTCCTTTCCAGGTTGGATGTCTTCTATTTCCTTTTATTGCTGAATTGTTCCTGCTAGGACTTCTGGTACTATGTTGAGTAGGAGTAGTGAGGTTGGGCAAACTTGTCTTATTCCTGATCTTAGAGGAAAAGCTTTCAGTTTTTCACCATTGAGTATGTTAGCTGTGGGCTTGTCATGTGTGTCTACAGTACCTAGTTTGTTGAGAGTTTTTATCATGAAAGAGTGTTGAATTTTGTCAAATACTTTTTTTCTGCAGCTTTTGAGATGATCATGTGGTTTGTTCTTTAAACAATCTTGTTCAAATACATGGTAAAATGTCACTCTTCTCAACTAACTGGAATGTTTAAGAACTAGTAATATAATTTCAAAATAAGTATTCTTTAAAGAATCTTAGAATTACACATATACAAAATAGTTATATTAGAATTATTTCCAAGTAGAGAGCGTGTTGCTCTAATGCTCTGTGAAGACCATTTTATTGATCGGTATGGAGGTTTCATAAAGTAACAGAAATTGTTTCTTCTAAATGTTATTGCCCACTTAGGGTTGGAAATTTAGTGTTTTCCTTGACTCCTGCATTTCCTTACCCTTCCCCTCCAGTTACTATTGGGCTGTGTGATACTTACCTCTGCAGTGGTACTTTCAATTCTTTCTTTGAATTCCCACTGCTGCAGCCCTAGTTGAGGACCTCAACGTCCCTTGCTCCTACTATTAAACTCTCATCTGATCTCTCCGTCCTTCAGAGGTCTGCGGTACTATCTTCCTACCAGATTGTTCTTCCCTCCTGAAAGCCTGTCGGTAGTTTCCCCTTCTAAAGTCTTAGATATTCAAAGATTCACCATAACATGATGCCCTTTTTAGTTTTATTTGCTACATTTTGTCTTTATTCCCACCCTTCCTGATACATGCTTTATCTAAACTATCACGTCTACGCTTTGCTTATGCCCTTCCCCTGGAAGTGGTTTTAACTTCTTTTTCTTCACCTATTGAAATCTTTTTCTTTTGCCAACCATGTCGGCGTCAATCTCCTTTTTCTGCTATGTAGCCTCAACAAATTGTGCTTCTATAACTATCATAAAATTTTTGTATCATTTCTGTTTATGCTTGCTCTTGGCACTGGAATATGGAAGAGATTGCGTATTCATTTTTAAATTCCTCCACAGTACTCAACACGGTACTTTCTACATGGTATGCACTATTTCACCCCTTGTTGAATGAGTAGCAAAATTTAAAACGTAGGTTGTGTTTTTCATGACTTGAAGAGGTCGCATCACAGATCATTTTATTCCCTCTAAGGAAATCATGTTACGTTGACTATTACTGATAATAAATGTGTTATTACCTGGTGTTAGAAAGCTTATTACCGGATTTCAAAATT